AAAAAAGGTATGGTTGCATCAGCATTCGATCATCTTACACAACAACGTATTGCAATTAAAAAAATAACACCATTTGAACATCAATGTTTTTGTCAACGAACATTACGTGAAATAAAAATTTTATCACGTTTTCGTCATGAAAATATAATTAATATACAAGAAGTTATACGTGCACCAACAATTGATCAAATGAAAGATATTTATATTGTGCAATGTCTTATGGAATGTGATCTTTATAAATTATTACGTCATCAACGTTTAACTGATGAACATATTTGTTATTTTTTATATCAAATATTACGTGGATTAAAATATATACATTCAGCAAATGTGTATGTTAAAAATTTATTAATAAATGAATAAAAATTTATTTGGTTTTTTTTTTTCTTTTTATAGTTTACATCGTGATCTTAAACCAAGCAATTTACTTTTAAATACAAATTGTGACTTGAAAATATGTGATTTTGGTCTTGCAAGAATAGCTGATCCAAATAAAGATCATTCTGGTCTTCTTACTGAATATGTAAATACATAATTATATTTGAATATTTAAGAGAACGAGTATAGACCAAGGCATTGGTCAAAACTTAGATTTTTTTTTGATGGATCTTTTAAAGATCATAGTCTAAAACTATTAAATCTAAATTTTTCGCTCATTTAAATGTACTATAGTAAAGTTAACTAATCCTTACTTCTGAATATTGTCAACTTATCATCAAAAATTGTACATTGCTGAAAAAAATGAACCACTTAAATTATTACATATGATCTCTTTGCTGGAGTTTTGTAGTCCAACATGAGTGAGAAATGTCACAATTTATAAATTCAAAATGGCCGATAATCAAAAGATACGAAACTGAATTTTGTATGTATTATATAACTTTTAAAAAAAATTTCCGGACTCGATCAAAGAAATACGACCTATGCTAATACATTACTCAACAATTCGTCTTGTGGAATAATCTTTTCTCTTTAGAAAAGCACTGTAATGCATTATAGCCAAAATAATTCAATAAAAAAAGTCCGAGCCCGACTAAGTCCAAATGTGGACCCGAATTTTTTTTTTTACTAAATGACTTTGGCTATAATGCATTGCAGTGCTTTTCTAAAGAAAGAGAAAAGATTTCTCTATAAGATGAACGGTTAAATAATGTATTAGCATGAAAAATAATAGAGCGACTCGTATTTCTTTAGATCCGATGGAGAGTTCTACTCACGAACCTCTCTTTCATCGAAATTTTTAATGATTTTTCAAAAGAAACAAAACTTTTTTTAGCGGTTTTCATTGATAAGACACGATTATGATATTCGAAATTAGCGTCAAAAACTGATCCCTAGAGGATCACAGGACAAGAGTTTAATAAAATACGACTGGTGGGGGAATTACAAGTGATTTTTCTAGAATTTATTCAATTCGATGTCCTTTTTGACTTTGATTCTGAATAAAAGAGGTTTGTGAGCCGTGTTTCACCTCGAAAGTAAACTTTTTTTTTTATCAGTTTGTAGAGAATCAAAAGTTATATAATATATACAAAATTCAAATTTGGTATTTTTTGATTATCGACCATTTTGAATTTATAAATTGTGACATTTCTCATTCATGTTAGACTACAAAAACCCCAGTAAAGAGATCATATGTAATAATTTAAGTGGTTCATTTTTTTCAGCAATGTACAATTTTTGATGATAAGTTGACAGTACTCAAAAGTCAGTATTGGCTAACTTTACTATAGTACATTTAAATGAGTTAAAAATTTGGATTTTGTATTTTTAGACTATGACCATTTAAATGCACATAAAAAATCTAAATGTTTGATTGGTGTGCTCTCTTAAGAATGAAAAAAAAAATTTTTTTAGGTTGCTACTCGTTGGTATCGAGCACCGGAAATTATGCTTAATGCACGTGGTTATTATAAACCAATTGATATATGGTCTGTTGGTTGTATTCTAGCTGAAATGATTGGTGGAAAGTAAATTATTAAATAATTTTTGTTTTTTGGAAATTTATTTATTTATTTTTTGTTTGTGTTAAAGACCTTTATTTCCTGGTAAACATTATATAGAACAAATAAATTTAATTTTAAATATTGTTGGTTCACCAGATGAATCTGATTTAATATCAATTGGTAGATTAAAAATAAAAAAGAAAATTTAATATAGAAAATTTTAATTCTTTTTTTTTAGTTAATGAACGAGCTCGAAATTATGTTAGTTTATTACCTGTTCGTAAACGAACACCATGGAAACAATTATATCCAACAGCATCAGATTTATCACTTAATATGCTTGATTATCTTTTAACATTTAATCCAAATCGACGTGTTAGCGTTGAAGAAGCACTTAAACATCCATATCTTGCTCAATATTATGATCCATCAGATGAACCAACAGTATCACAACCATTTACATTTGATATGGAACTTGATGATTTACCATTACCACAATTAAAACAACTTATTTTTGAAGAAACAGAAATAATTCATGAACGTTTACAACAACAACAACAACAACAACAGCAGCAGCAGCAACAACAATAATGAGAATAAATTTAAAAAATTTATTTTCTTTTTGTTTTCTTAAAACGGTGATTCTTTTCGTTTTGTTCTTATCTAACAGGTGGTTGTTAAATATGTTTTCTTTTTTCCTATTATTTATTCTCATAGTCAATTTATTGTATTGTGAAATGTATATCATTTATTAATAATTCTGATTGTTGTTTTTATTTCATTATATGTGTTGTACATCTGAAATTTATGTTCTTTCTTTTTTTTCTGTGAGTACTTTTCGAACTGTGGTTTTATTTATAAATATGTATGATCAAAATAATATTTATATTCAAGACTAACTGTAGACCTGAGACTCTGCATATTTAATAAGAAATAAAATTTTCTTTAAATAGATTGACTAAATTATATCATGAAACGAGAGGCAATTTTTGTAACATACCATCCTAAAAAAGTGGTGTTGAAATATAAAAATTGAAATTTAGACCCAATCTTCTTCTTTTCCCTTCCACCTCCCCTCGTAGACGTGACAGATAAAATTATGACATACAAAACAAAACTATTATGTTTCATATTTTTTGAGGCCTATAATAATTATGTTGAAAGCTTTTTAACTAAATTTGATGTATAAAGATTATTATTCGACCTTGAAGAAGTACCTAGAGGACAAAAAATATTTAATTTTTACTGTTCGCTAGGTAAATTTACCTTTCGGCGCATAAGAAAATTTCTTACCTGAATAATAAATAATCCATCATAAGTTTTTTGTTTTTTTGTAATTTACTTTAAAGATTTTGTTTCAATCTATGGAAAATTTTATTAATAAAAAAAAAACATGAATTTAAATATTTTTCTCTGTTGTAGATCAAATCATGTCTCGACAAAATTTCGATCCACTTGCTTTAATTCCTACAATTGATGATGATGATGAAAATGATGTACCAGATCTTGATGGATCTGGTGATGAGGATGAAGATGAAATGATCGAAAAACCTCGTGCTCATAAATTAGCTCAGGCTACAAAAGGAAAATCTATTGATTTTAATGAACAATTTCAATTTCTTCTGGTAAACAAAAATCGAACATATTTATTTCTTTATTTTTTATTGCAAAAAAAAATTTTTTTTTTATTTAGGATGATCCGGATGAAAAGAAAATATTAAATGATAATGATGATCAATTAAAATCACGAGGACAATTATCAACAATTGATGAAAAAATTGCACAAATTCGAAATCGAAGACAAAAAGTAAAATTTTATTTGACATTTTTTTTTTTTTTATTTTTTTTTTATTTTTTAGAAAAATAAATCTGAAGTTGAAGATGAACAATCATCAACAAATAATCTTGAAGATGAATCATATGAAATGGAAATTGAACATGAATCTATAACAGATAAAATGAAAATAAAAGAAACTAAAAAGAAAAAATCATCAAAAAATAAAAAAGTAAAAAAAAAGAATTTTGAAGATTTTGTTTATTTTTTAAAATTTGTAAATTTTATTAGCAAGATGAATTCTTTGAAGAATCACCACCATTTAATCCTGATCAAGTTTTTTCTGAAATGAAAATTTCTCGACCATTACTTAAAGTAAATCGAAATTAATCAAAATCTTTTTATCATTAATTAAATTTTTTATATTGTCTAGGCTCTTTCAGCAATAGGTCTACATTCACCAACACCTATTCAAGCAGCTACTGTACCAATTGCACTTCTTGGTCGTGATCTATGTGCTTGTGCTGTTACAGGATCTGGTAATTCATTTTCACAGAAGATCTACTTCTTGTAACCATGTGTATCATATAGAGTCTAAATAGCCTGAAATTCTGAACGTTTCATCTGAAAAGAATATTCTTTTCTCGAAATATTGAACTTTGAAGTAAACTTGATTTTTGTGACGAACAACCATTTTTTAGAAATTCAATATCTTGATAAAGGAAAATTCTTTTCAGTTGGAATTTTCAGAATATTCCCAGAATCATAAGATCTATCTATACGAAAAATTTAGCCATAAGTCGGTTCTAGACGCTCATGAGGATGAATCCTTTTAGGATTTTTCTAATCTTATCGAGATCTCCTTGTGAACCCAATATAATTTTCGAATTTTTAATTGAAATTTTCTACAGAGACAAACCTTAACCAAAATACTTGCGAGAGAACCGTCCGAAGTTATGTCCAACGCCAATTCCCGTCATTCATACGTCGTTTGATGGAGGGCATCGAGATAGTAGAAAGTCTAAAAAGATTTGAGCTGAGAGCTCTTTCTTGAAAAGTTAGGATCAATATTCTGTTTTTCCCAGCCAAAATAAGCAAAAATTGAAAATCTTACAACTCAGTCAAAAAGATTGTACATACTTGAAATTTTCAGCACTATAAGCTCATTTACGCTGCTGATCAATCTGAGCATTTCAGATTATTTGGTCGTTTCATTCTTGACTTACAGGATTTTTGTGTGGGCGTAGATATGGGTATGTGTTAAGGGGACCACACCCATATACTTCAAGTATATACGATCTTTTTGATTGAGTTGTAAGGTTTTCAATTTTCCCCCATTTTGACTGGAAAAAAACAGAAAATTGGTATCTCGATGCTCCCTATCAGACGGCGTATGCATAAAACGAATTGGCGTTGGATACTTCGGTCACTTCCCTCGTTAGAAAATTGACTAAAAAAGTGCTAGGAATAAATGTAATATACAATTTGATGCATCTTCATCTCTTCTCTCGAACGATGAAAATTGCAGTTCTTTACCTGTTTCCATTCTTGAGTTATTGCAAAAATGTTCAGTTCTTTTACTAATTGAATTTATGAAAATGTTAATAAATCTCATTTCAATTGATGAATTAAAATAATTCGTATATTTATATTTCAGGAAAAACTATAGCTTTTGCATTACCTATTCTTGAACGTCTTCTTTATAAACCTCATCAAACTGCACCTTGTACACGTGTACTTATTTTGGCACCAACACGAGAATTATGTGTTCAAATTCATCAGGTATTTCGTCAATTAACTCAATTTACTCATAATATAAATATGTGTCTTTCAACTGGTATATCTTTTGTTTTTTGTTTCATGTTCATATTCATGTTTTATATCATATATTATTAGGTGGTTTGGATTTAAAATCACAAGAAGCAGCATTACGTTTACAACCTGATATTGTTGTTGCAACACCAGGTCGTTTAATTGATCATATACATAATTCACCATCATTTACATTACAAAATATTGAAATATTAGTACTTGATGAAGCTGATCGGTATATTTTCTTTTGTTTAATTATCAAAATTTGATTTTTTGTTATTTTTTCTTAGAATGTTAGATGAATATTATTTTGAACAAATGAAAGAAGTTATTACTAATTGTTCACGTACACGTCAAACAATGCTTTTTTCAGCTACAATGACTGATCAAGTATTTGTTTATTAAATCTTTAATTTTTTTTTTTTGGTCTCTTATAATATTTTTTTTTTTCGTGTGATATATAGATTAAAGATCTTATTCAAGTATCACTTAATCGTCCTATTCGTTTATTTATTGATGATAATCAATCAGTTGCACCATATCTTCGTCAAGAATTTATTCGTATTCGTGAACATCGTGAAGGTGATCGAGAAGCAATTACTGCTGCTTTACTTATACGAACATTTCATGATCGTGTTATTGTATTTGCACAAACAAAACGACAATGTCATCGTATGCATGTTATGCTTGGTTTACTTGGACTTAAAATAGGTGAATTACATGGTGATCTTTCTCAAACACAAGTAAATAGAAATTAGTGTTGTTTTTTTTTATTATTTTTTTTTTTGAAATTTTATTTTTTGCTAGAGATTAGATACATTAAAAAGATTTAAAAATGAAGAAATTGATATTTTAATTGCAACTGATTTAGCTGCACGTGGTCTTGATATTGAAAATGTTAAAACGGTAGATATATATATATATACAAATGAAATCTTATTTTTATTTTATGATTTATTTTAAGGTTATTAATTTTATTTTACCAAATACACTGAAACATTATATTCATCGTGTTGGTCGAACTGCTCGAGCAGGAAAAACAGGTAAAATATAGAATATTAAATTATTAAAATTAATCCTACAATCAATCAAACCTATAAACTATCAAGAATTTATACCGATCTTCAAAAAGATCTATTCATTTAATCAGAGAGGAAATCATAGAAAAGGAAAATGTTGAATATTAAAGGTCAGTTGACCTTGATATATAGCATAGATGGAGCCAGTCTACCGATATCGGACTGATAGACCAACCGGCTTACAATTGGCACGAGCACCGGATCGCTATTATCACTTCTAACTATGATTAAATGTCTACAACAAAAAATATATATCGAACGTATTAAAGTTTTTTTTTCTTTGCACAATTTGTTTTCGTGAAATTTCAACAAAACTTCACTATATATTTAATAAACAATATCAATTAAGGACAATAAGAATGTTGCAAGAGTTAGGGGTGTCAATTTCGGGTTTCATTCCTAGGAACTCATAGTGACTTACTACAGAATGAAAGAATAGATATGTGTAAGCATCTTCGGAACTATCTGTAATAAACTGTTAAATCCGTAACAGATTGGTAAGACCGATCGGCTAAGCCGTTGCCAATAGCCACTAGAGCTCATTGAATCCGATCCGGACCCAATGGACTCTAGTAACCACAAAATTTTTAAGATATATTAGCCGACACCAATACTCTAGAAGTTCAACCGTACCGCCGGTTAATACATTAGCTTACGACTTTATTGGTTTTATTATCTTCTGTATGTTCTGTTCTTTTCTTGCGTTTTGGTGTCGATATTATTATAGCGAATAACACATAGGTGACATTTCAAGCATCTATATGTATAGACATTTGTAAGGAAAGGAACTATTCTAAAAAATGTCACTATCCAGAAATAGATTATCCAATCATAATGAAAAATAAACAATGAATTTTCATCAAAATATTTTGTTTTTTGTCCCAATAAATAATTTATTGATAACGGAGATATTTATTATTATATTA